TGTTAGACGTTGCGCCGCTCTTAACCCATTCGCGACCGCGCAGGATTGCGCAATAGCAGCAGCGTCAGGAGATTTTTCTTCAATAAAATCCGAGTGAAGGGAGATTTCCTCTGCCCAGGGCTGGCGTAGATGAGCGAGGGTATGAAGATTCTTTCCATGGAAGAAAACTTTCCAAATTCCATTTCAAGCCCTGCAGCCACAGTAATACCATTGTCCCGAGTGAGAGCTTTGTCAGCCACCGGTGGCTGACATTGTCACGAATGGGTAAATAAAACACTAAGTTGGAATTGCTATCTAAAACTGCAGGCCGACAGTTGCGGTAGTTTTGAGGATTAGATTTGCACTCATTTCTTTTCCTCTCATAAGCTATGTCTTGTGCCACCTTGCCAATCGCACTTTTGTACCGGTGTTAATGGGATGGGTAATCATCTCCGGAAGGAAGCACAATCGCTTCACCTTGTAGATTACGCTACATGTCATCAGAAAGGGTTGTATAACTGTTCTCGAGTGCTTTCTTTTCTGGAAAGTTTGCTCACTGTTTTTGATGCTGGTTTAATAATTCAGACGCAGCGCGTCTTCCCAAGATGTTATATTTGTTTTGGTCGCCCCGAACGTATCTGTTGGAGACTTTTCTGTGAGAGATCGACACTACGACTCTGTATTCAAGTAAGCCTTGTAGTTCTTTTCAATGAATATGGAGAAAAGTGTTTTACGACGATTCTCATTTGGAATACTTTTTAGATGGCTGCCGCGATTAGGTATCCAGCCTCTGTTATGATTCGCTCTGAAAATCGTACGAAACTCTTCTCGACTGCCATTAGTTGAAGATGTTTTCACTGGTGTGAACAGACTTTCACAGCCAGTGGTATGCTATAATTGTTTGAGTTTTGCTTGTGGCCACCCCCAACATCGCTGGCAAATATTGCCCTTCTTCTTACAGGTTACAAAACTCGTTAGGGAGCATAAACAGAAGCGGATAGTTCTCGTTGGTTGGTACTTTTGCCTGTTCAATTCAATGTGTTGTTTCGGTAATGCGTTCATTTAAGTATAACTGCAACTTATTATTTGCAATATTCATTTGTTTATTTTTCTAGTCAACGAATGCTGTCCTTTTTTTTCCACTTTTTAATCTTTGTGGTTATAGGTGCTCAACACAGTTCCTGGTGTTTCGGCAATAATCGATCTCGCTTTTCCTGTATTAACGATAGATGGAATGCGAGGGGTTTGTGCTTTTAAGCTCTTGCGTACACACTTCAGCAATATGCTGTTTCTTTTCTGTAGATTGCGTTAATGTATACGAAATTGGTTTCCAGGAGCCCGATGATGACATACTGCTAACCTACTGCCCAACGCTTTTTGTTGTTGGTTCAGAGGCATGCGACTACCACCCGGGTGCGATGAAGTATATGAGAGCCAACATGATAAGTGAGTTGTTTGCAGAAAAAAACAGATTTTCTTACGCCATTTCTATTCTTCTTCTGTACTGATAGAACGCGCGTCAGTTTTGAAGGTAAACGAAGGCTCCCGTTTCCATTCGAATTTCCTTTTTTTTAGCTTATGCTTAGGTTTCAGTCTGTTTTCACTTTTTTTGGGTTATTCGCACTCATTGAAGCCCTTATTTTTTTATTGTACTGATTCTTTTGCATTCCTTTCTTATCTCTGTTTTAGTCACAAAAGAGGAGGTTGCTAAGTTCAGCTCTTCTCTGATAGGATAATAATGTGGTTTAAAATCTTTCTTGCAAATAGCATGTCGGACGCAAACATAGGATAATGAAAATTCTCATCCTTCACAGTTTCTAGGGAATCTCTGTATGAACTGAGGGAGTTGAATGGTGAGGCTGCAGTTGCCATTAACATCCCTCAAATATCACTCACTCATCAATGTTGCATGAGGGTAAAGTGCCTGGTGTCTACCAATACTTTCTTGGGGTGCGTCACGCTTACTACTCCATCTAGAATTGTAGCTTTTCAGAGCGATTTTTCTCCTATAATGACTTGAGCGGGTCAACCGATGTACATGCTAGTGTTTTTTTCTAAGGCATGCATGTTAGCTTCCTATCTCCACATGTTTGATGGCTTTATTGGTCCGGGCGAGAATCGATCCAGAATTCGAGAACTAGACGCCGCATGCGAAGCTCCATGTCGCCACTGATCATCGCACCACTACCACCACATCACCTGTAAAGATTGCACTGCGCAGCCAGGCTAGTATCTAAGCTATGCCAGCGATTTTGATGTCATCGAGCTCCATAACATGAGTAGGTATGACTGATTCTATTCATCGCTAATTTTCCACTTCATTCCAAAACATTTCACGACATTCTGGGTCTATTCCAGTTAGGGGGGCATCATGATGCAGCTTTTCGGCGAACTAGTGTGAACTCGAACATTCCAGCTTTTCACGCATGTCAAGTGACTGCCCTCACCCCCACCCCCCTAGACTGGCTACACTCCCCCTGGCTCGAGTTACCCTAGCTTTTTGAAAAACTGCATCATGATACCCTGTTAACACTGAAATTAGACCCCATATCTGTTTTGGAATCTCATTAACGGAACGAGATCCAAAAATATTGTGTTGGTTAATTTTTGTTCCTCCTAAGATTTAATTTTCCCATCTATAGCTTTGCAGCCACACATGTCTGTTTGATCGGTCCCATCCAACACACAATCTGGTCCGTTTTCCTGTTCCGTTTGTCCCGTCTGCGCATAACTCAGAAAGTTGTAAACCGATGTATTGGTATGCTTAATTTTTAGCACTATTTTTTCAGCCTCGCATTATTGAATATTACGATAGAAATTAGCAAAGATGAGGATTATAAGTGCAATGTCATTATTTCCTGTTTTGTAGGAGCAAATATGTGACTTCCTTTCTATGGACTTGGACAAAACGTGAGAGATCGCGTCTTGTTCCTATGCCTTTGAATGATACGTTCAAGATTGATTTGATGCAGCTTAAAATTGAGTAAGTGCCTAAAGGTTTTGTCATCAGCTGTTTTTTCCCTTACCACCGCTATTTTTAGTGAAAAGGCAGCTCAAGCGAGTCGAAAGCCAAAGGAGGAAAGCATAGTTGACAGCCGTGGCCGCAAGAAGAAATTGTACCGTTTCATTATTACTATAGTTTTTCGAATCCGTTTATCCAGTTCATTGCTTTAAGATCTGTACTGCCAACCGTTACCTTTCTGCCTATTCCTCGAGAGGCCATCTGCCGTCACCGCTTCTGTTTCGCAACTTCGAATAGCGTGCGACTCAAACTTCCAGAACCTACTGAAAAAGTAAATCCAGCTGTTCATTCTGTTTAGATTTTCTTGATATTCCTTATTCTTTTTTGGTATCTTTCAGATTCTCAGTATACCTTCTTTCAGAGCTGGAAATGATAAACCTTCAAAATGGCCGGAGGAGCGACCACTGCTTTCTAGTAGTTTCAAGGAACCTCGTCTTCCCGCAAAACCTGGTCTGTAAATTATGTACTTGTTTGAAATTGACCTGATATGGCCACTCAATGAATCTTCATGAAAAGCTGCAAAGGGTTAATACCAAATGGTGTGTGTAGATGGACTAGAACCATCTATCGCTCCTGAACGCCGTCGTATTTCACTAACGACTTGGGCGCAATGCGCTGGCACGCATTTGCAGACTGGCACCCCTATCGGTTTGAAGGCTGAATTTGTGAAGAAAAGTCAGCCACTACAAATGGTAAAAGTGGTTCAATGCAGAGATGAAGAAAAACCAAGAAAAATGACCTAGTACCCTAGAAATGGAGCTTCGCACCGCTCTCCCCACTCCGTCGTAGGGTCAAACCGCGTAGAGGGTCGCGCCGACAGTGATAGGGTCCGGGACGGCATGCTCGACCCGCCGGTGCATACTCCTTGCTGGAATACTGCGTCAAACTCTCAGTGCTCCACCATCCTTGAGTAGTTTTTCATTCTTCACCCCCGATCTCGTTGTGGAATCCTCATCCATGCTTACGAATCCCTTTGATGCAACGCAAAAATTCGTCACTTCTGAATTTTCGACATCTTTTAACTATACCGCTAGACCGATACATTTCAAAATCGACTGTCACACTTTCAGATAGCCATCCTAAAAGCGGAGCAGCTGCATATCATATTATTTCTGTCTCCAGCGCCCGCCATGTAAAAGATGTTAATTTGCCAACAAATTAAAAAAAATCGAGGATTTCTGGACACTGGTGTTTGTAATTTTCGGAAGAGAAGCTGTTCGCATAGTTCACGACATGAAGTCGGCCCGAAACCCTACTTATTTTTCATTGACAGAATCTGCGGCGGTGTCAAGGTAGAAACATAGTTCCCACTGGTGTGAGTGAGCCCTTTTGGTACGTATCTCCAGACAGGAAGCGGAAAGGAAGGCAGGGCGCCTGTGATAGCTTCTTCACTGGTTCCGTTGCCGAAAGCAAGATGCAATTACCGACGCACCTGTTTGCAATGCGTGTCATGGCGACGCATGTACTTAGGGGTGACTGCAGAAATCTGATTCGTTCCCCTCATCGTCCCCATACCGCCACGCGCGAGCAGATTTCTTGTTTCTGGCATTTCGGCCGGCCAAGTAGTCCTGTTATGACCTCCCTTAACTGGTGTACTGCTGGAAGGGTGAAAATGAAATGTTAGGCCCCATTGGCCGTGCGTAATAGCTGGCGATGACTCACTTATGGCCTCGACTCTGGCGGAGACGGGTCCATACTGTACAAGTACACACAGATACTACACCTCCTTACCCTTTACTACAGCGAAGCAAATGCGTTCAGCTCTACTTCTTCACCTACATCCTCATATCGAATCCACTGAACCACCGCAAGGTTCTATTAGGAGGGTTCTACATAACTAATTCTCTAGACACCCGGACCAGGTCCCAATTAGAATTGAGCTGCTCCCGCACTGTGCACAGAAAATTATACTATCCTATCACCATTCTGGAAACTACAGCTTGAAAAATCTACGCGCGAAAGTACTGCTATGGATTAAAAAGTAATTCGTTAAGGATCTGCCATGGCATCTCCAGTACCTGCTCGTACGGAGTCTCCAAATCTGCTGGATCCTGCATCGATTTCGTTGACTTAGATATTCATGGAGCTTTTATTTTCTGTTAAAACTGGCCATGACTGCCACCTCGTTCTTTATCTGATAGCGAGAAGAGACTTATTGATGTGAAAACAAAATTAATGCTCGCCGGATGGTGTTATGATTCTTAACTTTTGTGCGAGTCTTATTGGTAATCCGGTTTTTTTGTTGAAGATATACATACGTTTTTTGCTTTACTATGCTGAATATGAATAGTACTTTTGTTTTTAGCATAGCTTCATGATGGATATGTGTTAAAAATTATTCATATGCTCGGTTTGTTTAATCAATTCCAGCAACTTTTTCCGATGTCTTGTAGATATGTAGATTACGGATGTCTAGCACTTTACAGTCGTACATTTTTTGAGCCATCTGAAAGTTAATTGTGTTATTTGTGCTTGTTTATCAGACATGAATAGAATGTTTGTTCGTTGAGTTATCGTTTGCATCAGAAGAGCTAGTGCGATAAAACTAGTTAAGAGAAGTTGTTGATATTCCGCTTCACACTGCTTGCACACGCTGCGGGATCGATTCGGTAAGGCTGTAAAAATGTCGTTCACGCTGAGCGACGGCCTCAGAGCGAGGTGGGAGGGTGGGG